TGAAGTAACCAGAACTTTTTGACATGGACAATAGAAGTCAAGATGGAACAGGGAAGTGTTCCTACTTTTGGAGCCAAAATGACAACATACAGGGGTAGAGCCTAGCCTGGGAAAAACTGGAAAGGTAATTGGGTTAGAGAAAGGGCACAGGATGCCAGTATGTCAGATGGAGGGCCTCACTCAAGCCCAGGAAGAACGAGAAAGTTGGATTTGATGGTTTGAATGGCACCTTGATCATTACCAGGAACCAAGAAAATATATGGAGGATTACCAAAAGCTTCGAGGCAGCTGCTGCTAGAGCCTGCCCACCCTCTATGTCCCCACGGGTGTATTATTTCCCTTAACCTGCATAAAATCTTGCCACCACATTTAAACTTCTTCTCCACACTGCAAAAGAACTCATTTTCATGTGTAATGTATTATTTGTGCCTCCTCAGTTACAATGTTCTCTCTTTCAAGTCTATGTATGTGCAATTTAATACAATACCTACTAAGTAGAGGACATTTAACGCAAAGGAATTTCATTTAGTTATTCCTATCCTCAAATAGGACATAATGGTTTCTGTTTCTAAACCGTTGGCAAAAGAAATAAGAGATCTTTGATTACCCTTTGAAGTTGTGAAATAAAGCACCTCAATATAAAAAGAGAAGTGTTAAGTTTATGCCTCTGGTTTCAGATCATAAATACTTTGGACTTGGGAATGACATATATCTGGATTTAATGCCAATATGGGGGCTAAAAAGATATTAATACTTTTCCCCCTTCCTTCTGAGTTCTTCTGGCTGGAGTAATAATCAAATCAACAGAGACAGATTAATGGGGAATTCTCAAAGGCATGAAAGTTCCAAAGGCAGTGAAGCAACATTGGGTATATAAGACATTGCGGGCAAAGGTGAAAGGGGGCACCAGAGTTTTAGATTTCAGAAGTGAGAATGGGTGATTGCTGGTAGTTGAGGAAGAGAGAAATATACCTGGCAAGCAAATCCTTTTAGGTAACTCAGAAACAATGGGAGGGAACACAGGGGGTATCTTGTTAACAGGCACCTGCCTGAAACCCTCTTGTTTGTCATAATTAATTCAAATTAGGTTAATGAAATATCCTAAGCTCTCTTTCCTGAAGCAGGTTTCCCTCTCTGAATCTGTTGGGCAGGAAGGGGGAGGGTCAAAGGTTCCCTCTGAGTCTTGTTTCTTGATAAACAGTTTAAAATCAAAGTCTCCAAAGGGCAGCTTCAGGGTGGCAGATTTGGGGTTCCTTTGCATAGCTCTTTCATGTCCGCACACTACCTGTGTAATCTTAGGCACATTGCCTAGCTTCTCTCAACCTTTGTTCCTCTATCTGTAAAATAGAGTTAAAAATATGTAGCCCCAATCACAATAAAGAGATGTGCGTGTAAGTTCTAGTGCAGCCCCTGACGAAGTAGACAATTAGGACATTCATCCGACAGTGAGAGTAACTTTGCAATGGTGTGCCATCATGTCAGCAGTATTTCCTGTGAAGTGAAGCATTTCCTATGTGATTAGAATGTTTCCTCAGAAGACGTTATCATTTAACCAGCTTCTTTTGACTGTTTGGAAAAGGTTAAACTTACAAAATACACACAAATTCCTGATTCATTGTTAAGTCAGCCTATCACATGTCTGCAAGGACATTCCAATATGAATTTAAACTAGAATTTCTGAGTGGGACAAAATTTAACTTCTTGTTTGTTCCAGTCCTTCAGATAGACTCAGAATAGACTTAACATTAGAGTTTGGGCAAACCATTTTATTAAAGATTTTCATCAGGACTTTTAATAGCACACTGATTAAACTAGATTAGCTGCCAACTTTACTTGATTTCACTTTTCATTAACTTGATCCATAGAAATACAGAGTAGTATATTATTATGATTCAAAATTTTTAGAATGTGTTTGTTCCATTCCCCAGCTATAAAAAGAAATATTCATTTGCAAATGCAGGAGATACCTGTTCATGTGTGTCTATTAAAGAAACTAGTATTTAAATATAAGTTTTTGTAACATTAGCATCTTACCTTCCTGTCATTTGTGCTACATATAACTTGGATAGATACAAAAAAAAAGAAAGAAGAAGAAGAAGAAAGAGAGAAAGAAAGAAAGAAAGAAACAACTGTTGTCCTACTTCTGACTCTATTCAAGCAATAAAAATGAAAGGAAAATCACAACTTCAAATCTCAAAAAAGGTAGTATGCAGATTGTGAAAAATCCCTCAGTGCTCTCATCTTTGTACACAGTTTTATGCCCAATGTTTTATCCTATTTTCAAAAGGAATTGTTCGCATTAAAAATATATAATTTAAAGGAAGTGGGAAATCCACTTGGTCCGTTGCCTCCCAAATGCATTAAAAATATCCCTTTTGCAAGGCACATTGAAGAAGCCTGTAAATTATAAGGCTGGTGAAAACCACTATTGAAAAATACTGTGCTATATCTTCATGATGTTTAAAACAATTATTGGAGGTAACTACTACCCACATTCCTTTCAGAATCATTTCAGAGGATCAGCTAAAAATGCTATTAACTCTAAGAGACTCAGTCTGTCAGAATGTATTAAAGTGACATACCATTAACGCTAGTTCAACCTAAAAAAATCATCCTGTAGTGAAATGCTTTATATAAACTCAGGAAAGATAGGAAATTCACAGTTCTCTTCTACATTAGCCAGTATGTGAGACCCATGGTATTATGATATAGAAGTGGTAATTTGACTCCCTGAAGCGGCTTAGTAATGGCCCTTTAATACTTATACATAGATGTGTTTGCTTTTGTGAGTATGTCTTAGAGACCTAGAGATGACATTTCTCCAAAATGGAGGAAGTAATTGGAAGAAGATATGAATAGAAAGGAGGGAAATTTCTTTTCCCAACGTTTCTTATAGCACACAAAAGTATAGACTGTAACACACACACACACACACACACACACACACACACACACACACACACACATTGAACTGAGCCATGTCTATAAAGATCATTTTTAAAGGAAATTCTTTTTTCAAAATAGGAGCATCAAGCACTGAACTCAGTACTAGTATCCTCTTACTCAGGATAGTCATAACCTCCATTCAGTTCAGAGGAAAAGCCTAGATGATATTGACATGACTACAGAGGAAGACCAGAATGAGATCAAAGTGTCCAGGACACTTTGCATCCTTCTGAAACCTGATAATGCAACACCTTCAGACTTTACAAAGGTCAAGTTGGGGGAAAAAATAAAAGTTAGCATACTCTCTTAATGTTTTATAATTTGACCAAATTCACAGCCTTTATCTGATCATATTATTTGAACCCTGCTCAGAGGCATAGATCATTGAGGAGTTCCTAAGTAAAGAAAGTAATGCGGAGTTTTCTCTTTATCACACATGAAAGTCAGAAATAAAAGGGAATATTCCTCTGGAGCAAAGACTTCATGACCCAAGGGCCCTAATACCCCAGTTATCAAATTAGAGATGGCCCTACATGCAAGCAGAGACAGGATGATCATCCAGAAAAAAATGTCATTTAAAGAGTGCTTTAACACCTTGGAATTGCTTCCCCACTGCCCATCTTGATTCCATCTTTCCTCCTTCCTGTCTTGAAATTCCCTTCTTTGGGTGTACACTTTGTCTCTAAAAGGTTGCTATTAAATATGCTGTCTGGAATACTTTTCTGACCTTAGCCTTCACAGAAGATTGGTACATCAAATCATATAGCTACACTTGTGGCTCTGATAAGATAAAACATAGTTAAATTTCATTGAAGGAAGAGAAAATACATGTGAAATTGATATTGTTATCATTTTGACTTTCTTAAAATTTTGTACAACTATCTGTATTATCTAGCTTTAATTTATGTTTCTAACCTATTTTTTTCTACCCTTCCTTTTCATGTTCTATTCATTGGCATTCTAACTCTTCCTTGTATAAACCTGACACTTTTCCACACCTGTAACTTTGCTCATTCTCTTCCTGAAGCACTCACAAATGTCACATCCTTGATAATTTGTCCTTTGGTAGATGAGACCACTTGAGACTGGTATACACTTTAAAGATTTTAAGCTTCAATGAGCAGTTATGAGTCACTGAGTAGTACTAAAATTGTAATGTGCATAAGAATCACCTTGCCAATAATGGAGATTTTGTGGACCCATCCCCAAAGATTCTGCTTTAGTAGTTCGGTAACAACCCAGCACATGTAATGTTAATAAGTCCACCAGCTGATTCTAAAACAGGTGAGTCCAGTACCTCTTTGGAAAAAAACAAAAACAAACAAAAAAACTGCTCTAAGAACATCTCCCCTTGCTTTTAAATTTCTAGTAAAAGACATTCTAGAAAAACATTTTTCAAAATAAAAATATCATCATAATTAATATTAAATCTCAGAAATTCCATTTCAGGAATATTAGATTACAGACAGGCTTACCTCAATTGCCCTAACTATATTGAAAGTATTTAGATGGAAGATAGCTAAATGTGAGTTAATGAAATTGCTATTATTAATCACTTTTTGAGAACATGTAGGAATCCTAAGAACATGATATAATTTGCATCACTATTGTATAGCTTCTGCCAGCTCTGTAGTTAAAGTGTAACAAAACAACTCTATGGAAAGGGCAGGTTTACGATGGAAATAATTCTTCTGCAAAACTCAGGAAACAGTATCAGAGCCTGCGAACTGTGCTCTTCCAACTGGAGAATCCTGTATTTGTAATAAATTCCTTTTGCTCTGGATGAGTTCTGCATTTTCAATGAGGTTAACTTGGCAACATTCTAGTTGATTTTAATAAAAATAGCTGCTTTGAGGACAGGGAGCTGAGGTTGCCAAATTTACAGCTGCCTTGCACAATTACTCTTACACCTCCTTCAGGGCTACTTAGAACCAGTAAGCAAATTAAGTGTATCGATTGCAATTTTGTTGGACTAACCCCCCTTTTTTTTCTTAGGGAATAAACTTGATTCCTTTCAGTATGTGTCTGTTCAGAGTGATCTCTTTTCTTTTCAGCCATAACACAAAGACAACATCATGGCTGGATCCACGACTTGCGAAAAAGGCTAAACCTCCAGAAGAGTGCAAAGAAAATGGTAGGTTATTAAGTTTTTATGGTGTTTCAAAATTGCACTTCAAGAATGTTTGTGTTTCTTAAAAGAGGGTCTCGCCTAAAGAAGCAAGAATCTAGTTGAAACAGTTTTAAAGATGTAATATTAGATGCTCAGAGAGAAGGGAGAATTAACTCGGCATCTCAGCATTGCCATGTGGTTTTCCCTTTTCTCTCTGAGGAAGCTGTGCGGGGTCTCACGTCGCTGTCATTGCTGTTGGTTCCGTCTGACTCCTGGCCTTGATGTTCCACCACCTACTAAGGGCTTTTTGTTTGCAGTATGTCTGTCTGAGTGCTCTAATCTTTTCATTGGAATTAATTATGATATATATAGAAATAGTATGAAACTATAAATAATATTTGATTTTTGATAGTATTCTGGTAGTTATTAAAGAATTGGTGATATGAAGATCTACACATAAAGCTACTTTCGTTTAACCAGACATTTAAATAAAATAATTAGTGTCATGAATGTGCTGGGTTATCCTTACTACTTTCCAGGTCCCATTCATTTGCTTAAAAATCGACTTGTCATGTATGTGAAGAATTTTTTTAAACAATGTTGAGGATTAAATTAATATAAACCTTGAATTCTAATTAGGAAATTATATAGATGAAGTCTGTTACTGAAGATACTTATAATTTTTTTAAATATAGAGTTTAATGATAAAAGAGTACTTATAACTTATCTAAAATTATAAATGTAATAGTCTCTTAATGATTTACTACTTGACCACATTCACAGCCTTTATCTGATCAACTTATTAGAAGCCTATTCAGAGGTATCTACTATTGAAGAATTCTTAAAAGTTAAAAAGAAGATGAGGGGTATTTAAACTTTTTTTAAAGTCTTTTAAAAATTAAATTTTTAAAAAAGTCTTTAATTACAAAGTCCTTTTGTTTTAACAGCAATTCTGGCTTTGTCAAGTAGTATCTAGAATATATTATTTATTCCTGTGTTATCAGGGAACTGTTCACAAACTAGTTATATTAATAAGTTAAATTTTTTAAATGGGAGTATACAATTTATATGTACATATTTGAACGCATATGTATCCAGTTTTTAAATGCTATCTACCTTTAAGTTTATATTCATAACTATATCTTTGTGCCTTCCCTATAATATTGCAACTGTATGTGCTTGAATTCCATAAAGTTATTATGTGGCCTGGACTTTTGAGCACAATTAGGTACATCTTTGACAATATTGAGATGTGTTGCAAATTATGATAGGTTATAAATGAATGACCTGATCTGTTATATATGCGAATTACAATTTACTTGTGCCACAGATGTAAAACCTTAGTATATACTAATTAAAAGAAATTTAATGATTTTGCAGTTCTGTGACATTTTAAACTTCTCAACTGTCTTGTTCCTTTGAGTTGTTCTTTTTATTATAAAATCCTATTAAAGTCAAATTTTTAAATTCTGGGAGAGATGTAGGCATAACATTGCATAATTACAATATTTCAGTGTGATCAGTTTTTCCTATATCTGCACTTGTCTATCTTCTCAAGATAGTAGATGCCTCAGATACGATGCCAGGGTCTGTGAATCTCAAGTCATTGAGAAACGAGTCCTAGAATACAGTCTCATAGCTCAGAATAATTTATAATTGGTCAATTACTATTTGTTTTCATTTTCTACATAATAAATCATGGATCTTATTCTATTTATTATTGGAATGTTATTATTATAAAGTATTGGAATTTATTATTGGAAACTAACATCTAGTTATTTAGAATGCTAGTATTCCAAACATATATTTTCAGTTTCCATGCCAACAGAAGTTCTTTTAGGTAACACTCTTACTTCTGTTTTACTTTTTTAAAATAACATAGATTATAATTGTTTAAAATGTTGCTCTTGATGGATTAATGTTGAGCCTGCTAGTTAAGTAGGCTTCTTTTTAAATATCACAGTTCAGCTCAGATCAAACAAAGTTAGTGAAATAATTTTCTGAATGACGGAATGTGTGTAAAATGTCTATTAAAATCTTGTAGAGGCTCAAGATGAAAATATCTTTCTCCAGCAAAAATGTATCCTTCTTCCACTAGGGAGATGGAGTAGAAACACTAAGTCCACCTCAGTTCAGTACGGAGCTGGGGCAACATGAGGTTGGGTTGAGTTTGGTAAGATCCAACCTATCTCTGGCTTGTTCCTGTTCTCAGGGTGTTTGCCCACCCACCCAGGTTTTTAACTAAAAGTTAAAATTATTGCAGTTTGGCAATTATTTTCTGGAAGAGTCAGGTAGTAAATACATTAAGCTCTTCAGGTCATCCATTCTGTTTATTTTGTTGTTGTTGTTGTTTTCTCAGCCATTTAAAAGTGTATAACTATTATTAATTTGTGGACCATACAAAAATAATGGCAGATTGGATTTGGTCCATAGGACAAATTCTGGCCTAGTGTGTTCACGGGGAGGCTGCCCTGTGTCAGGTCTTGAACATCAATTATTTTTAAAGTCTTTTTATTTTCAGTAATGCCAAACTGGCCAGAAACAAAAACTGTGGTGTGTTTCAGGGGTTTTAGCTTAGTTTTTTGCCTCCAGACCCTGTAGCTTCAGAATTTGACAAATATCACATGGGATAATTGGCCATGTCTTTGAGATCTCTGAAGTCTATATTTTGTCACTTCAGTACCTCAGGACTCCTGAACTCAGGGGTAGTTTCTCTAACCCACCCACGGGGGCCTTCTTCTCAGGCCAACTGTAGACTCTTGTCAGAGCCCAGAATCAACAAAAACTGCTGCAAAATCTTTCCTCACCTCTCCAGGGTTCTTTCCTCTTCAGAATCTTGAAGGTCTATACCTGTTATTTCAGCAGTTCTCTGATTTCCTTTAACTGCTCACTTTTTATATTTTATTTAGATTGTATATGTGTTCTCTTAGACTATAACCTGTTCACTCCGTTCCAGTTGGGAGTGGAAACTTTAGTGAAATAATTTTTAAATTACACATTTTACGTTATTGGGTTGCATACTATGAATTCTTTATTAGTAAATAATTTACACTGTATAAATTAATCTTGCCCTGGCCAGTGTAGTTCAATGGTTGGAGCATACTCCTGTAACCAAAGAATTGTGGGTTTGATTCTCTGTCAGGGCACATACCTGGGTTGCAGGTTTGTCCCTATCCCCTGTTGCAGGTGTTAGCTACCACCAGTCCAAACGCCTACTATCCTTGGTCCCGACACTTACAGAGGCAACCGATCAATGCTTCTCTCTTATTGATGTTTTTCTCTCTCCATTCCTCCCTCCTTTCCTCTCTCTCTCTAAAATATAAAAAAAAAATTGAAAATGGCCTCAGGTGAGAATAAAAAAAAAATTAATCCCTCAAGATTAAATTTCTAAGTACTAAGCAATACCTTATGTTGTATATGTGTGCCTCTTATTATGGTGGTACAAGTGCGTGTGTGTATATGAAGATATGGACCTGTAAATGTATGCTTCTTCAGATGTGTTTACATAGGTGCATAAAGTTAATAACTTGGCCAACTATAAAAGGAAGACAAGTGAAAGAGAGATGGAAGGAGGTAGCAACTGATTTAAATTATTCTTAGACTTCAGAAAAAAACTGGCAAATGTTTTCTCATTGGTACCAAGGGGGAAAAGGGAACATGGGATCTTCAATATAAATATATATTAAGCAACCACATATTCTATTGACACTAAAGCACTTATTCAGCTTTTTTATTTGAAAGATAATACTGCTACTAAACATAAAAACATACTTCCTTCTCTGACGATGTGGTTGAAAGTACTGAAATCATCACGTTCTATGCATTTGTCATAGCTCTGTGCATGTAGGGGATTTTAGCACCAGTCTACATGGCAGAAAAATGTCTCCACCCACTACTGGATTCTAATATTAGTATTTGGGGGAATGCTGTTTAGCAAACCAATATAGTCTTTTACAAAATGCCACAGGAATAGCAATTAAGTATTAAATAATTTGGATGCAAGTTTGGTTGAACTGTGTATAAAGCACTGTCATATTAGTCCAGCTCTCAGAATCAGTACCATGGGGTTTGTCTGAGACATTTCCAATCACAAACACCCCTGTGGTGGCATATCCCACAAAAGTCACTGAGTTCTGGTTAGTATCAACGTAATCCAAGCCTGGTAGGATTCATATTTTCTTAAAGTTTACATGTAATTAAAGTCAGTAGGACCACAGAATTATATTCAGAAGAGAAAAATGAATAGGATTTTTAGTCAGGGAAAACTTTATTCCAAACCCAAATCTGTGGGTGCTTTGGCAAGGTAATTAATCTCTGGGAGCCTAGATTTCTTCACCTGTAAAATGGGAATAAAATCTATTTCACGTTGTACCATAGGCTCTAAGTAAGTGTTCCTTTCCTTGCCTTGTCGTAAGCTCTGAATCAACAAATTAACCTCATAGAAGACCAGTAAGCAGAAATTCAGAATTGTTGGCCTACTCTGATAGTTGGCGTACAGCCTTGAATTACTGCAGGGTGTCCTGGACAGATGGAAAAGAACGAGCCCATTAGGGCTAAAATTATCCAGCCTGCTAATTTCAGCTTAATATTAATAGACTGGAGATTTTCTGCCTTCATTCTATTAAACTGGATCTAAATTTTCACAAAGTTAGTAATTAAAGCTGTATGAATTAATTGGCTTCATTTCTGTATTCTATGTGAATTGTGAACTTTTCATGTACTACAGAAAAAAATATGTAATCTTAACCCATTTACCTATATGAAAACTCCATTCAGTTGACCTTAATTAAATCTTTGAACCATTATTTAATCTATCTTTAAAAATAACCATGTCCAAAATGAACATAAACAAAGATAGCATAAGCTATGTTTTATAATATTTATTAAATGGATTTTTTAAAGTGAAGGAAGATGCCTTTCTAAAAAATGCTAATTTTAGGTTGTTTCCTAAGTGAGTTTTATAGAACTGACACACACTTTTTTTGCTTTTTTTAACTTTTATTAAATGTATTAGAGTGATAATG